GCATGTGAGATGCGTGATGGGTGATGGTTAAGAGAGCATGTGAGATGCGTGATGGGTGATGGTTAAGAGAGCATGTGAGATGCGTGATGGGTGATGGTTAAGAGAGCATGTGAGATGCGTGATGGGTGATGGTTAAGAGAGCATGTGAGATGCGTGATGGGTGATGGTTAAGAGAGCATGTGAGATGCGTGATGGGTGATGGTTAAGAGAGCATGTGAGATGCGTGATGGGTGATGGTTAAGAGAGCATGTGAGATGCGTGATGGGTGATGGTTAAGAGAGCATGTGAGATGCGTGATGGGTGATGGTTAAGAGAGCATGTGAGATGCGTGATGGGTGATGGTTAAGAGAGCATGTGAGATGCGTGATGGGTGATGGTTAAGAGAGCATGTGAGATGCGTGATGGGTGATGGTTAAGAGAGCATGTGAGATGCGTGATGGGTGATGGTTAAGAGAGCATGTGAGATGCGTGATGGGTGATGGTTAAGAGAGCATGTGAGATGCGTGATGGGTGATGGTTAAGAGAGCATGTGAGATGCGTGATGGGTGATGGTTAAGAGAGCATGTGAGATGCGTGATGGGTGATGGTTAAGAGAGCATGTGAGATGCGTGATGGGTGATGGTTAAGAGAGCATGTGAGATGCGTGATGGGTGATGGTTAAGAGAGCATGTGAGATGCGTGATGGGTGATGGTTAAGAGAGCATGTGAGATGCGTGATGGGTGATGGTTAAGAGAGCATGTGAGATGCGTGATGGGTGATGGTTAAGAGAGCATGTGAGATGCGTGATGGGTGATGGTTAAGAGAGCATGTGAGATGCGTGATGGGTGATGGTTAAGAGAGCATGTGAGATGCGTGATGGGTGATGGTTAAGAGAGCATGTGAGATGCGTGATGGGTGATGGTTAAGAGAGCATGTGAGATGCGTGATGGGTGATGGTTAAGAGAGCATGTGAGATGCGTGATGGGTGATGGTTAAGAGAGCATGTGAGATGCGTGATGGGTGATGGTTAAGAGAGCATGTGAGATGCGTGATGGGTGATGGTTAAGAGAGCATGTGAGATGCGTGATGGGTGATGGTTAAGAGAGCATGTGAGATGCGTGATGGGTGATGGTTAAGAGAGCATGTGAGATGCGTGATGGGTGATGGTTAAGAGAGCATGTGAGATGCGTGATGGGTGATGGTTAAGAGAGCATGTGAGATGCGTGATGGGTGATGGTTAAGAGAGCATGTGAGATGCGTGATGGGTGATGGTTAAGAGAGCATGTGAGATGCGTGATGGGTGATGGTTAAGAGAGCATGTGAGATGCGTGATGGGTGATGGTTAAGAGAGCATGTGAGATGCGTGATGGGTGATGGTTAAGAGAGCATGTGAGATGCGTGATGGGTGATGGTTAAGAGAGCATGTGAGATGCGTGATGGGTGATGGTTAAGAGAGCATGTGAGATGCGTGATGGGTGATGGTTAAGAGAGCATGTGAGATGCGTGATGGGTGATGGTTAAGAGAGCATGTGAGATGCGTGATGGGTGATGGTTAAGAGAGCATGTGAGATGCGTGATGGGTGATGGTTAAGAGAGCATGTGAGATGCGTGATGGGTGATGGTTAAGAGAGCATGTGAGATGCGTGATGGGTGATGGTTAAGAGAGCATGTGAGATGCGTGATGGGTGATGGTTAAGAGAGCATGTGAGATGCGTGATGGGTGATGGTTAAGAGAGCATGTGAGATGCGTGATGGGTGATGGTTAAGAGAGCATGTGAGATGCGTGATGGGTGATGGTTAAGAGAGCATGTGAGATGCGTGATGGGTGATGGTTAAGAGAGCATGTGAGATGCGTGATGGGTGATGGTTAAGAGAGCATGTGAGATGCGTGATGGGTGATGGTTAAGAGAGCATGTGAGATGCGTGATGGGTGATGGTTAAGAGAGCATGTGAGATGCGTGATGGGTGATGGTTAAGAGAGCATGTGAGATGCGTGATGGGTGATGGTTAAGAGAGCATGTGAGATGCGTGATGGGTGATGGTTAAGAGAGCATGTGAGATGCGTGATGGGTGATGGTTAAGAGAGCATGTGAGATGCGTGATGGGTGATGGTTAAGAGAGCATGTGAGATGCGTGATGGGTGATGGTTAAGAGAGCATGTGAGATGCGTGATGGGTGATGGTTAAGAGAGCATGTGAGATGCGTGATGGGTGATGGTTAAGAGAGCATGTGAGATGCGTGATGGGTGATGGTTAAGAGAGCATGTGAGATGCGTGATGGGTGATGGTTAAGAGAGCATGTGAGATGCGTGATGGGTGATGGTTAAGAGAGCATGTGAGATGCGTGATGGGTGATGGTTAAGAGAGCATGTGAGATGCGTGATGGGTGATGGTTAAGAGAGCATGTGAGATGCGTGATGGGTGATGGTTAAGAGAGCATGTGAGATGCGTGATGGGTGATGGTTAAGAGAGCATGTGAGATGCGTGATGGGTGATGGTTAAGAGAGCATGTGAGATGCGTGATGGGTGATGGTTAAGAGAGCATGTGAGATGCGTGATGGGTGATGGTTAAGAGAGCATGTGAGATGCGTGATGGGTGATGGTTAAGAGAGCATGTGAGATGCGTGATGGGTGATGGTTAAGAGAGCATGTGAGATGCGTGATGGGTGATGGTTAAGAGAGCATGTGAGATGCGTGATGGGTGATGGTTAAGAGAGCATGTGAGATGCGTGATGGGTGATGGTTAAGAGAGCATGTGAGATGCGTGATGGGTGATGGTTAAGAGAGCATGTGAGATGCGTGATGGGTGATGGTTAAGAGAGCATGTGAGATGCGTGATGGGTGATGGTTAAGAGAGCATGTGAGATGCGTGATGGGTGATGGTTAAGAGAGCATGTGAGATGCGTGATGGGTGATGGTTAAGAGAGCATGTGAGATGCGTGATGGGTGATGGTTAAGAGAGCATGTGAGATGCGTGATGGGTGATGGTTAAGAGAGCATGTGAGATGCGTGATGGGTGATGGTTAAGAGAGCATGTGAGATGCGTGATGGGTGATGGTTAAGAGAGCATGTGAGATGCGTGATGGGTGATGGTTAAGAGAGCATGTGAGATGCGTGATGGGTGATGGTTAAGAGAGCATGTGAGATGCGTGATGGGTGATGGTTAAGAGAGCATGTGAGATGCGTGATGGGTGATGGTTAAGAGAGCATGTGAGATGCGTGATGGGTGATGGTTAAGAGAGCATGTGAGATGCGTGATGGGTGATGGTTAAGAGAGCATGTGAGATGCGTGATGGGTGATGGTTAAGAGAGCATGTGAGATGCGTGATGGGTGATGGTCAAGAGAGCATGTGAGATGCGTGATGGGTGATGGTCAAGAGAGCATGTGAGATGCGTGATGGGTGATGGTTAAGAGAGCATGTGAGATGCGTGATGGGTGATGGTTAAGAGAGCATGTGAGATGCGTGATGGGTGATGGTCAAGAGAGCATGTGAGATGCGTGATGGGTGATGGTCAAGAGAGCATGTGAGATGCGTGATGGGTGATGGTCAAGAGAGCATGTGAGATGCGTGATGGGTGATGGTCAAGAGAGCATGTGAGATGCGTGATGGGTGATGGTTAAGAGAGCATGTGAGATGCGTGATGGGTGATGGTTAAGAGAGCATGTGAGATGCGTGATGGGTGATGGTTAAGAGAGCATGTGAGATGCGTGATGGGTGATGGTTAAGAGAGCATGTGAGATGCGTGATGGGTGATGGTTAAGAGAGCATGTGAGATGCGTGATGGGTGATGGTTAAGAGAGCATGTGAGATGCGTGATGGGTGATGGTTAAGAGAGCATGTGAGATGCGTGATGGGTGATGGTTAAGAGAGCATGTGAGATGCGTGATGGGTGATGGTTAAGAGAGCATGTGAGATGCGTGATGGGTGATGGTTAAGAGAGCATGTGAGATGCGTGATGGGTGATGGTTAAGAGAGCATGTGAGATGCGTGATGGGTGATGGTTAAGAGAGCATGTGAGATGCGTGATGGGTGATGGTTAAGAGAGCATGTGAGATGCGTGATGGGTGATGGTTAAGAGAGCATGTGAGATGCGTGATGGGTGATGGTTAAGAGAGCATGTGAGATGCGTGATGGGTGATGGTTAAGAGAGCATGTGAGATGCGTGATGGGTGATGGTTAAGAGAGCATGTGAGATGCGTGATGGGTGATGGTTAAGAGAGCATGTGAGATGCGTGATGGGTGATGGTTAAGAGAGCATGTGAGATGCGTGATGGGTGATGGTTAAGAGAGCATGTGAGATGCGTGATGGGTGATGGTTAAGAGAGCATGTGAGATGCGTGATGGGTGATGGTTAAGAGAGCATGTGAGATGCGTGATGGGTGATGGTTAAGAGAGCATGTGAGATGCGTGATGGGTGATGGTTAAGAGAGCATGTGAGATGCGTGATGGGTGATGGTTAAGAGAGCATGTGAGATGCGTGATGGGTGATGGTTAAGAGAGCATGTGAGATGCGTGATGGGTGATGGTTAAGAGAGCATGTGAGATGCGTGATGGGTGATGGTTAAGAGAGCATGTGAGATGCGTGATGGGTGATGGTTAAGAGAGCATGTGAGATGCGTGATGGGTGATGGTTAAGAGAGCATGTGAGATGCGTGATGGGTGATGGTTAAGAGAGCATGTGAGATGCGTGATGGGTGATGGTTAAGAGAGCATGTGAGATGCGTGATGGGTGATGGTTAAGAGAGCATGTGAGATGCGTGATGGGTGATGGTTAAGAGAGCATGTGAGATGCGTGATGGGTGATGGTTAAGAGAGCATGTGAGATGGTGATGGGTGATGGTTAAGAGAGCATGTGAGATGGTGATGGGTGATGGTTAAGAGAGCATGTGAGATGGTGATGGGTGATGGTTAAGAGAGCATGTGAGATGGTGAGGGTGATGGTTAAGAGAGCATGTGAGGTGCGCGATGTTGACGCGCAACTCGACACTCCGTTGACGCTGCCAATTCCCAATTTCCCACATGCACGTGGGAATGGGTGATAGGGCATGTGGGATGGGAGACTCGGAAAGGGAGATTGAACATGTGGGAAGGGGGATGGAGCACGAGGGATGGGAGATTGTCTTGCAGAGAATGTGAAGGATTTGAACCGCAGCAAGCTCTGTAAATTCCCCCCTTCCCCTTAGTTGGCCGTGCGTGGCAGGTGCACTGCCTGCATGCAGCCTCTTGCAAGAGATTGAGAAGGATTTGATCGCAACAAGTTGTGTTGCCCGTTCTTTCCTCACCCCTACCCCCCCTACCCCTCCCCCGTGGGTCGCATGTGGCAGGTGCACTGGCTGAACGTGCAGCTGCAGGAAGTGTGGAAGTATGTGGACCGGGTGAGTTGAAGGATTGCGTTGGGGGGAGTGAGTTGGAGTGAGTTAGGCCGACCGCGTGAGTTGGGGAGTGACTGGTCGGGTGAGGAGAGGGGGGGACAGGGTGAGGGCAGGCGCACTGGCTGAACGTGCAGCTGGCAGGGTGGGATTGACCGGGTGAGTTGGGGAGGTAGGGGGGGGATGGGTGGGGTTGACCGGGTGAGTTTGGGAGGGGGGGGATGGGTGGGGTTGACCGGGTGAGTTGGGGGAGGGGGGGATGGGTGGGGTTGACCGGGTGAGTTGCGGAGAGTGAGTTGCGGGTAACTGGGTGTGGAGAGGAGGTTATAGAAAGGTTGAGGAGAGGGGATGGAAGGGTGAGTTGGGGCGACTGGGTTGGTTGGACTGGTTAAGTGTAGCCCCTCTCATACCTACCTCTGTCCCCTCTCCATCCATGCAGGCAACGTCTCATCTGGTGAAGGAGGTGGTGGAGCCAATGCTGGACAGCTACAAGCCCTCAGGAGTGTCGTCGCTCACCTTCAAGCGCTTCAAGCTCGGCAGCAACGCGCCGCGCATCGAAGGTGCGCCTTGTGTGGAATTGAAGTGTGGCTTTCTTGTAGGGTGGGTGTGAAGCGCTGCGCTGCCTGCCAGGAATATATGAACGGTGCGGGGATTGGGGCAATCAATGAAACGAAGAGACGGATGAGATTTAGGGTTTCTCTAGCACTTGCAGGAGTGAAGGTGCAATGGGTGGTGGAGGCCCCAAGGGTTAGTCAGGGCGTTCATTTGGGTGGGCGGGAAGGGCCGTGGGGCAGGCAGCCATACTGGTCCACGTGTCATCTCATCATTTGTATAGGCCTCTAAAATATCGTTCGAATGCCAGTTTTGTCGGGCCGAAGGTCGCCTCGTTTTGAGTTGCATCAGAAGGGGCGTGTAGCAGTCAGGCCGATCCACATGTCCGCACCTGAACGTCTGCTTCGTTCCCCGAGGGTTCGTGGAGCAAGAGGGGGTTGTGGACATGCACATGCACATGCACATGCACATACGCATGCGCATACGCATGCACATGCACATGCACATACACACACGCACTTTCACATGCACATGCACATACACATGCGCACACGCACTTTCACATGCACATGCACATACACATGCACACGCTCACTTTCACATGCACATGCGCATGTACATGCCCATGCACATGAACATATACACACGCACTTTCACATGCACATGCACATGCACACACGCACTTTCACATGCACAGCACATGCATACACGCACTTTCACATGCACATGCACACACGCAATTTCACACGCACATGCACATGCACACACGCACTTGCACATGCACATGCACACACGCACTTTCACATGGTCATGCACATGCACGTGCACATGCACATACACACACATGCACATACACGTGCACATGCACATGCACATGCATATACACATGCACGTGCACATGCGCATGCACATCCACATGCACATGCACATGCACATGCACATGCACATCCACATGCACATGCACATGCACATGCACATACACATGCACATACACATGCACATGTACCATGTGCCATACCACAGGTGTGAAGGTGCAGTGGCTGGTGGAGCAGCAGGTGATGGTGGACATGGACTTGTGGGTGGGGGGAAGGGAAGGGCCTTTAGCCTCACCGGTCAAGCGTTCCTCCTCCCTGCTCATGTGCCATGTGCCACTCCCCCTCCCTCCCTCCCACACAGGTGTGAAGGTACAACGGCTGGTGGAGCAGCAGGTGATGGTTGACATGGACCTGTGGGTGGGGGGGGGCTCGTCAATCATCCTCGCCATCGCCAGCATGGGCGTCAAGATGCACGTGCAGGTGAGTGAGAGGGCGTCAAGATGCACGTGCGGGTGAAGGCTTGACAGGTCCACATGCAATGCAGGTGAGAGGGGATGCACATGCAGGTGAAACTCTCGTCACCCCAGTCTCTCTCGTCCCCACACTACAGCTGAAGGACCTGGAGCTGCGCGCGCGCGGCTGAGCCTCATCCCGCAGCTCCCTGACGTCTTAAAACTCGTCCCCATCTCCCTCCCCCATCCCACACCACACCACACCACACCGCACCCCACCACACCGCACCCCACCCCACCCCACACCACACCACAACCCACCCCACCACTCCACACCGCACCACACCACACCACAGCTGAAGGACCTGGAGCTGAGGGCGAGGCTGCGGCTCATCTTGCAGCTGGGGGAGGAGCTGCCATGCATCGATGCTGTCGTCATCTCCATCCACAAGAAGGTGCGCTTTGCGCCTCTTCACTTTCAGGTGCATCAATGCCGTGCCCCTCTTGCTGACTCTAGGAGCGCTCCCCTTGAGCACACGCCTGCTTCACTGCACCCGGGGGAGGAGCTGCCGTGCATCGATGTTGGTGTTACTTTTGAGAATTCTACGCGGTTGGGGGAGGAGCTGCGGTTTGAAACCTTTTTCTACGCTGGGGGAGGAGCTGCCGTGCATCGATGCCCTTGAGTACCTCTGGTGCCCTTCAGTCTACGTTGGCAGATACGCTTTGGGAAGGCTGGCGTACCACGTATATACGCCAGCGTATATACGTGGTACGCTAATACGCTCTGGATTTGCGAAAATACGCCCGGGCAGCCCGCGGTAAAAAAAAAATCCGAAATTGAAAAAATCCGCTACGACTTTGCGGCTTCGCAAATTGTTACCGCGAACTCGCTCAAGCACCCTACCCACGTCTGAACTTCGAATGTCAAAATCCAAACTTTCCCACCCACTCAACCACATACCACCCCACCCAACCTCTCAAACCCAACCACCCCTTTCAAATGTTCATCACTTCGTGAGCATTTTTAGGTCGACGACTTCCATAATGCTCTTCAATTTACTTCCCGCAGGTCTCGTCTAGCATTCTTCCCCGTTAGTTAGACGTTCCGTAGTCGCGCGCCATGGCGTCGAGCGCAGCTCCTACTAGTTCGACGAGCAATGCAGCCTCTGTTCACAGCTCTACTGCCCGGGAAAAAAGTTTCACCTGCTCGTCCAGCGTATTTTAGCGTATCAGCAATACTCCAGCCATTGCGTACCGCGTATATACCCAGCGTATAATACGCTAGCGTATTATACGTGATACGCGTATTTGCCAACGTATCCTTCAGTACCTCCCCACCGCACTCTACCACTGTACCTCTCTTCTTCAAGCCTAAGGCGATCGGCCAGTTGCCAAGCACCTTCTCATTCTCGTTCCCCTTACCCCTTCCTCCCCTCTCCCACACGCCGCTTTTCACTGCTCCCAGCCGCGCATGCGCATAGACTACAAGCTGACGGCCATCGGGGGTTTGCCAGGCACTCACCCTCTTCCTCCCTTGCCCCTCTCCCCCAACCCCGCCACACCCACCCCCCTCCCCATAACCCTTCACCGCGCCCAGCCGCGCATGCGGATCGAGTACAAGCTGAAGGCGATTGGGGGGTTGTCAGGCAGCTTCTCATCCTCTCCTCCCCTCCCCCAACCCCCCTCTTCCCGCCCCCCCTTCACCGCGCCCAGCCGCGCATGCGGATCGAGTACAAGCTGAAGGCGATTGGGGGGCAGCTGTCGTCCATTCCGGGGCTGGCGGGGATGATTGACAGCACGGTGCACAGCGCCATCGAGAGCACCCTCATGTGGCCCGAACGCATTGTCGTGCCGCTCTCCCCCACCTTTGACGCGAGGTGAGTCTTTCCCCCGTTCTTGTGAACATGATGTGATGTGATGTGATGCGATGCGATGCGATGCGATGCGATGTGATGCGATGCGATGCGATGCGATGCGATGCGATGTGATGTGGTGAGTGAGTCTTTCGACCCCTTTGCCTTCCGCTGGCCATCATACCACTCTCCCCCATTACCCTCCCTCCCCCACCCCTCTACTTCTTCCCCAACCCCCCCTTTTCCACTCTGATGAGTGTGTCGGACCCCTTCGCCATCCTCTGGCCTCCCCCCTCTCTCTCCACCCCCGCCCACCCACCTCACTCCCCCCTTTCGCCTTCCACGCTGCCCTGTTTGTCAGCGCACTCGAGATGCACTACGGGGGTTCTCTGGTGGTAACCGCGTGGAAGGCGGAGGGATTAAAGAATGTGGATATGATGAGCGTCTCGGACCCCTTTGCCATTCTCTGGACGCACTCCAAGCACAAGGCTGTCACCCGCACCATTGATAACGATCTCAACCCGGTCTGGAACGAAACTTTCGAGCTGCCCGTGGACGACATCCACACTGCAGAGCTCTTCATTCAGGTCTGCCCGCCCGTACCTTTTGAGCTGCCCTGTGCGTCGCCTTCTTTGTCGTGCCCCCACCACACTTTGGGCTGGCATGCTCTCCGCCCGCCCACACCCTTCTCTTCTCTCTGCTCGCACCACACACGGGCCTTCTCTGCCTCACCTCCGATTGCTTCGCCCCGCCTGTGGTTGCTTTGCTTCGGCAACCCTCCTCGGGTACCTACCTCGCGTGCCTACATCCCTCCTCTCGTGCCGACAACCCCCACTGCGTACCCACTTCCCCCCACCCCCTCTCCGCCCTCCCCCCCCTCTGTGATTCTTCAGGTGGAGGATGAGGACAGCTTTGGGAGTCAGAACCTGGGGTACGCCATGTACCCTTTAGTGGACCTCCTCGATAAGGACACAGTGCAGACGGTCACGCTGACGCTGCTGCCGAAGCTCAACAATGACCGCATGCTAGGCATCGACCACAAGCTGGGGCGCATCACTCTGCAGGTGAGGAGGCAGTCTGTGTAGGTGAGAGGGGGAAGAGTGGTCCATGTGCTAAGCGGTTCAATGACTGCATGGTGGGCATCGACCACAAGCTGGGGCGCATCACTCTGCAGGTGAGCATGGAAGCCTGGTGGGACGATTTCTTGGTCGAACTAAAATTGTCAGTGGGTGAAGGGGATATTTGAATATGTTGTATCAGTAAAAAAAATGTATGCCAAATGTTCGGGTATGCGGGATCGTGTTCGCCATGTTTTCTGTTGTTAGGTACTTATTGTCCTTTATGTTTGCTGGAGGTTTAGTTCACAAGTGTATTTATGAGTTGTATGTATCTGTAGTAGTGTAGACATTAGGGGTTGGGTTGTATTAGTTATAGGGTGCCCCCTGAGTGACTTTATCAAGTGCTTGGCACCCCAAATTCGGCTTTGGGGCACCTCAACACATTTCCCAACCTTGGGGACGCGGCTCCGGCCTAGACCCACGAATTTCAACATTGGAAACGCGGCTCCAGCTTGGAATTCGCGTTTCCAATTCGTAGAATCGCGATTCCACTAGAGGGGCGCTTCCAGGCCCACTTTGAGGGTCCTTCACGTCCCCATTTTGATTGTGGGCTACTTGAGCACCCATTTAGCTATACATGGGCAAACGAGTCGAGTTTTTACTCGACTCTACTTAGGTACTCGAAAAGCTCGAGTTTCGAGTTTTGATTTTCGTCCAAAAAACTCGACAAGACGAGTCGAGTTTTACTCGCGAGTTAAAAATAAACTCGTGAAAAAACTCGGCTAAAAATGCGAGTTTTACAAAGCTCAAGGCCCAAATTGCGCAAGATTAGTAATCTTGCGCAAGTTTGGGTGCTGGGGGGTGGGGGTTGTTGACTTGTCTGATTTCGCCGCAACACTTGTCTTTTCGCTGAGTCAGCAAGCTTCAGGGGGGAGCTTGCGTTTGGGGACCTCGAGTCGCAAATTGCAGAGTAGTGAAACTTGCTGCTTTGGCAGTGGGTGTTGCTTCGACTAATCAGATTGCGTCGCAACTACCGTAACCAGATTTTCGCCAAAATACAACACAAAGAACGAGAAGTGTGCAAGATTACTAATCTTGCCCTGCGCGGCCCGCAATTTCGGCCTTCAGCTTTAAAACTCGCGAGTTTTTCACCTCAAACGAGTTTTGAAGAACTCGCGAGACATTTGGCCCACCAGAGGGGGGGTACAAGTGTAAATAAAATAACTTTCCAGATTTGTGTTTCCAGATCAGAGAAGTAGTTAAATTTCGTTTTGTAGTGTCTGACATTTCACCGCCAGATCCGCGGGGATCTGGCATTTCGCCGCGAGAACCGCCCAGATCTGGCATTTCGCCGTCAGATCCGCGGGGATCTGGCATTTCCCCTCCAAGGTCTGGCTCGATGCTTCGAGTCGAGTTTTGCTCGACTCGCTCGAGTTTTTCCAGGGAAACTCACGAGTTTTAAAAAGCTCGACCATATGGTCGAGTTTCGAGTCTGGCCTGAGGAAAAAAAATCTTGACGAGTTTTACTCGACTCGACTATTTTTTGGTTTAGGCTAAAAAATATTGGCAAGCTCGAGGCCCAAATTGCACATCATGCGGGGCAAGATTACTAGTCTTGCTCGACTTTGCTCGACTTTTCTTCCACCTTCTCGACTTTGCTTTCACCTCCCTAACCACCCAGCGCTCAACCTTGAGCAAGATTATTAATCTTGCGCAATTTGGGCTGTGGGCTCTAAATCAGAGGGATTTTTTTTTTTTCCCGCTCTGAAGGGAATGTAAATGCGTTTATTCGTGACACATTCGTATTCGGTTCTCATCCGTCGGTTGTTATTCGATCCGCATTCGATGTGGAGCACGTATTTGGTCACCTATTAGACACTACTCGCATAATATGCCAAAAAAATACCGCTCACTCTTAAGATCACTATCACACTTCCATTCACAAAAGTAAGCATTTTAAAGCATACAACTGGGTGAAAGTTGAATGTTGCTTGTCTGTTTCTCTATATAAAAGAGGTTAATAATAAGCGAAACCAGAATTTGTTTGTGAATCACTTCGTAAAGAAACAGAATCAGAGGTTGTTCACCAACTTAACATTTGTTGTCTAGTCCAACCAGTGTGGTTTTGTTTCTTGAAGTTATTGGTATCATCCCCAGTACTTTTGATCCCCTGCCAGCAAATGTTGCTTGCATGCTTATGACATAACAATTGAGTCAAGCAAATTCCCTCTACCTGCTTCCGCTCCTCTCCAACCCCCGTTTTCCCCGGCCATGGCAGATGGTGTATCGCAGCTATACGCCAGAGGAGAAGGTGCAGGTGACAGCCGCTGAGCAGGCCCGCGACCCCAAGATTCGCGATTGCGCACTCTCCCCTGATGCCACCGAGCGTGCCTTCGCCACCGCACTCCAATCCGCTCGCCAGCGCAAGCTCTCCGCCCTCTCCTCCGCCTCCGCCTCTGCCTCTGCTTCTCAAGGCAAGCGGAGAGTCCGCTTCTCACGCCAGTCTTTTGGTGGTGAGGGGGACGGTGGGGCGCTGGGGGAGGGGCATGGGCGTATGTGGGGGGGAGGGGAGGTGGGTGGAGGGAGTGGGAAGGGGGAGAAGGGAGGAGGGAGTGGGTGGTGGTGGTCGTGGTTGTCGTGGTTTCTCGGTGGTGGTGGGAAGGCGGGAAGCGGAGGGGATGGTGGTGGTGCTTCTGGTGGTGATGGGTCTGGTGGCGGCATCAGCAGTGGCTTTGCAGGTGCAGCTGCTGCTGCTGTTGCTGAGGCTGCTGCTGCTGATGCTGCTGATGCTGCTGATGCTGCTGCTGCAGAGGAGGAGGAAACTGAGGATGGGGATGTAGATGCTGCTGGGGCTACTGCTACTGCTGCTGTTGCTGCTGCTGCAGGAAAGGGGGGCAGTAGCAGCAGTGGCGGCACGAGCAGGGCACTTGATAGAGTGAAGAAAAAGGGAGAGGGCGAGGGCAGTGGAGGAAGGACCATGTGGGGATCACTCAAAGGGTGGGCAGGCGGGCAGAAGGCAAAGGGGAAGAAGAGTGGTGGTGAGGGGTGGGACGCGGTGGCGGATAAACTGGTGGAGACATCAAAAGGGAGGGAGCTTAAGAGGAGCTTCCAGGTGTCGAGGGAGAGTAGGAGGGAGGGAGGAGGAGAGGAAGGGGAGGATGAGGATTGGGAGGAGGAGGAGGTGGATGAGGAGGAGGAGGATGAGGAAGGGTCTCCTTGTGTGGTAAACGGAGAGGAGGGTGAAAGAGGGATGGACGGGGAGGAGAGTATGCGGGAGGAGGATCCCGGGGCTGGTGGGCTAGCTAGGGAGCAGAGGATGAACGGTGAGGCGTTGATAGAGGGATGCGCGCTGCAGGAGAGCTCAGGCGAGGGAGGAGAAGGCAGGATGAATGGGGAGATGAAGACGGGTGAAGTAGAAGGTGAGGCAGAAGGTGAGGCAGGGGCCAGTGATGATGCAGGGGCGAGTGGCAGGGACGGGCAGAGGAGGGGTGAGGGGCAGGGAAAGGGTGTGGGTGGCGTGCAGAGGAAGAGGGAGGTGAGGCGGATGCTGCTGCGGGCGATGCTGGAGTGCAAGGAGAGTCCCGAGGGCCATGTTGCACGCTCTCGCACTCGCTCTGCTGATGCTGCTGATGCTGCTGGCGCTGGTGATGCTGGCGTTGGTGCTGGTGCTGGTGGTGGTGCTGCTGGTGGTGCTGGTGGTGGTGGTGTGCCGAGTGGGAATGGTGGGGAGGGCGGTGGGCTGGGAGGGAGCAGCGGTGCTGGGGAGTGGGATGCGGTGATGGACGGTGTGGTGGAGTTGGTCCAAGAGCAGGAGCGGGAGCGAGAGCTCACAAGGAGTATGCAGGTGTCAAGGAGATGGAGGAGGGGGGGGTTGGCAGGAGAGGAGGATGGGGAGGAGTGTGGAGAAGGAGAAGAGGGGGAAAAGCAGGATGGAGAAGAGGAGAGGGGGAGTGGGGATGCAGAAGCGGAGAAGGGGAATGGGGATGGAGAAGGGGAGAGGGGGGGTAACGGGCAGAAGAACAAAGACGAATCAAGACGAGGGTTGGAGGAGGGGCAGGTGGGCAAGATAGGTGGTGCGGTGAGAAAGAGGGAGCTGAGGAGTTTGCTGCTGGGGGCGCTGTTGGAGAGAAAGGACAGCCCAAGGGGATTACAGGCTACTGTGGACCTTGCTGTTGCTGATGGCGGTGGTGGCAGTGGCAGTGGCAGTGGCAGTGGTATTGGTGCCGCTGCTGGTGCTGGTTCTGGCAGTGGCAGGAGCGGGGAGGTCAAGGGGCTGAGGAGAAGGTGGGGCGCACTGATTGAGTCCTCTCAGGCCTCCACTCCTCGCTCTGCCTCCGCTGCTGCCGCTGCTGCCAGTGCTGCCGATGCTCCCGTTGTTACCGGTGCTGCCGGTGCTGCTGCTGCTATTGCAGCTGCTATTGCTGCTGCAAAGGATAGAAGGAATGCCTCTTTCTCCTCTGCTGCTACAGCTGCTCTTTTAGGGAGTGCTAGGAGGAGTGATATCTCTTCTGCTTCCACTCTAGGGAATGCGAGTGCTGCTGGGACTTCCAATGTGGTACTCGTGGGGAGTGCTGTTGGAAATGGTGTGGGGAAGAAGTCTTATGGTGGGATGGCAAGGGCGGTGGATACGGGTCGAGCCTTCAGCCAGGCTTTAAGCATCCTTGCGGATAGGAAGCTGCCTGGAAAGGGGCTGGGAGGGAAGGGTCTTGCGGCTGTGAGGCGAGCTGGAGGAGGGCACACTCGCAGTAAGACGGTTGAGGATGCGCCCTCTTTTGAAGCAGATGAAACGGTGGTGGTGGGAGATGAAACGGCGCAGGAGGGAGATGAAACGCGTGGGTGTGAGGGTGATGGGAAGAGGGAGGTGCATGGTGGGTTTGGCGGCAAAGCAAAGAGCTTTGCTGCACTGGAGGATGTGCTTGCAGCAGAGAGGGCGATGGAGGGAGATGGAGAGGAGGGAGGTGGAGAGGAGGGAGGTGGAGAGGAGGAAGATGGCGAGGCTGAGTGTGGGAGGGCGTGGGAGATAAGTGTGCCTGTGACGAATGGGCCTGTGACGAGTGGGCCTGTGGCGAGTGGGCCTGTAACGAATGTCCCTGTGACAAGTGGGCCTGTGGCGAGTGTGGACGTAGCAAGCAGTGTTGCCACTTGTGCCAGTGGTGCCAGTGGTGCCAAGGATGTCACGGTTGTTGAGAGCTCTGGGGTGGGTGGGTGCAGAGAGGAGAGTGGCGGTGCTGACTGTGCAGGGGCAAGGAAGCAGGCAGAGACTGCTGCTGAGGTGGGAGTGGGGGAGGAGTGGCGTGGGGAGGGGGAGAGGAGTGGAGAGGGGATGGAGGAGCGCATGAAGGAGGCGGGTGGAGGTGAGGGAAGGGGGGATGATGATGTGAGAGGTGAGAGGCATGAGAGAGAGGAGAGAGGTGCGAGGCATGAGAGAGAAGAGAGACGGATGGAAATTGAAGAAGAGAGTGGGAGGTGCAAGGGGGAGGACAGAGGAGGGAGCGGAGAGGATAATTGCAAGGAGTGGAGGACGAGCAGAAGCCATGCCGGCGACTCAGCGAGGCTGGCAGAGACAGTGGAGAGCACAGGGGAGGAGAGTAGAGGGGAGGAGAGCAGAGGGGAGGAGAGCAGAGGGGAGAGTAGAGGGGAGGAGAGCAGAGAGGAGGAGAGTAGAGAGGAGAGTAGAGGGGAGGAGAGCAGAGAGGAGGAGAGTAGAGAGGAGGAGAGTAGAGGGGAGGAGAGTAGAGAGGAGGAGAGACGAGAGGAGGAGAGTAGAGGGGAGGAGAGTAGAGGGGAGGAGAGACGAGAGGAGGAGAGCAGAGAACGGTCGAGTAGAGAAACGGAGAGCAGAGAGCAGAAGGGGTGGAAACAGGCGAGCATCGAAGGAGCCTCTACAGCTGACTCGTTGGCTGCTAGTGCTGCAGTGCCGGGTGCTGCAAGCAGGCATGTTCCAGTGGGGAGCGAGGAAGGTAGAGATTTAGCTGCAGGGATAGAGGGGATGGGAGTTGGTGGCACAGTGATGGGTGGAAGAACAACTGACATGTGGCATCAAGGAGATGGAACGGGGGGGCGAGGGACGGACACGCAACAAGGGCGAGAAGATGAACCGTGTGGGCAAGGAGATGAAACTCTTGTGGAAGGAGATGAAACTGCTGAGCAAGGGGATAGGAGGGAAGCAGAGGTGCTTGTGGCAGGGGGGTCTGCGGACTGTGATGGGGAGGTGGAGGGGAGGGGCGCAGCAGGCGAGGACACAGAGCACAGCGAGAATGTGGATGGGTTAAATGCTGGGAGAGAGCAGGGCGATGGGAAAATGAGTGAAGAGAGAAGAGGAGGAGAGCAGGAGGAAAAGAGAAGAGGAGGAAATTTGGATGACGATAGAAGAGGAGGAGAGGAAGAGAGGAGAAAAGGAGAGCAGGAGAAAGAGAAAAGAGGAGGAGAGCAGGAGGAAGAGAGAAGAGGAGTAGAGCAAAAGGAAGAGAGAAGGGGAGAGCAGGGGGAAGAGAGAAGAGGAGAGCAGGAGGAAGAGAGGAGAGGAGGAGAGCAGGAGGAAGAGGGACGAGGAGACGAGGAGCCCATTGGTCGGAACAGGCAGGACAAGGAGGGAGCAGCAGCGAAGGAAGCAGCAGCGGAGGCTGGAGGGGAGGAGGGTGTAGGAGAAGGGGTGGGAGGAGAGGAGGGGGAGAAAGAGGAGGGGCGAGGTGAGGAGGGGGGAGGAGAGGAGGCGAGCGTGCCGGCAGTGAGTGGACCACTATTGAGCCCTGCTGCGCGGGGGTGGGGTGGAGCATGGCTGGGCGCTGCTGTGCACGTCAGTAGAGTCGCAGGCAAGGCGATCCGTCGCACCCCCTCTGCTTCCGCTGCTGCCGCTGCTGCTGCTGCTGGGTCTGTGTCTGGAAGGAAGCCCGGAAAGAAGTTGGGGGATTCTGGGAGGAAAGAGGAGGTAGGCAATGAGGAGCCGGCAGTTGGGCAGACTCTTGAGACGTCTGGGAAGTCGGCTGGGCAGGCTTTTGAGGTGTCTCAGAAGGCGGTTGGGAAAGCTGGAAAGGATGAGGGAGAGTGGAATGACGCTTCCTTCTCCTTCACTGCTCCTTCTTGGTCCTTTTCTTCTGCTGCGCCTGATTTTCCTCCTTCTCTTGCTGACCCCAGCCTTCGAGCTGCAGCGTCGTCGGTGCCATCAGCACCAGCGTCAGAAGCAACGGCACCAGCAGCAGCAGCAGGAGCAGCAGCAGCAGCAGCAGCAGCAGCAGGGGCAGCAGTAGCAGGGAGTGCAGAAGCAGCAAGGGCAGCAGCGGCGGGAGAGCGACAGCAGGAGCGGGTGAAGCCACCAACCATTCCCATTTCCATGGCCGTGCGCACAGCAGCAGGCATAGACCTCGTCTCCTCTGCCCGCACTCCCTCCTCTGGCTCCCCCCGTGTGTCCTTCGCCTCCCTCCCTTCCCCGCGCTTCATTAGCAAGTTCCTGGGATCATCCAGCCTCGGTCAGTCAAGTCAACCCAGTCAAGGCAGTCAAGGCAGCTCTGGTCAGTCCAGTCAATACAGTCCCAGTCAACTACTGAGTCCCTTTCAATCCAGTTCCAGTCAAGACATGGAACCCACGCAGCTTGACTGTCAAGACACTCAACCAGATACGCTGAACCGTAACTACACGGAGCCTACTCATCACAACCGCCCTCTTCAGGCAAACCGCCGAACCAAGTCGTTTGAAGATCTAGATGATGCCGAGATGGTTCACATGGGGGACGAATCGGGACCGTTGGATGGAGAAGATATCCGTGTTCGCTCGAAATCGGCTCGTCAGCAAGCGAGGAGCAACGGATCAGCTTCGGAAAGGGTAGGCTTGATAAGGTCAGATCCCGAGAACCTGGGCTCTAGTTGCATAGGTTCGGAAAGAAGTGCTTCGGGAATGGCCAGCTTTATTGGTTCTAGCCCTGACAGGTATATCCCCGGAGGGAAGGCGTTGAGCAAAGGGAAGGGGAAGGGAACGTGGGGGTTTGCCAAGAATGTCAAGAATGTGGGGCGGGCGATTAAAGGAATGAAGGGCGGCACCAAGTGTGTGTACTCTCCGGAGGAGTTGCGTGATCGGTTGGAGGATAGGCGAGAGGAGATGGACAGGATGGCTGAGATGGAGGGGAAACGTGCAAACGCTGATATTGATTCGAATTGAGCTAGTTAAATTAGGAAAGTGGGTCAGAAAATGAGTGTAGTGGTTATTGAAGTAAAGTCCTCGTGGTCAGGCACTTCTCTTGTTTAAGCTAAAATATACATGTATTTTGTTGTTTAGGCATGCTCAAATGGTAGAAGGGTGGTTGTGTCATGTTGCGGAAGTGGCTAAACGAGGTCTAATTGTAAAATGTTCGGGTTCCAGGGGCAAAACTAGCACAGGTCTTGAGTTCCCAGATTTCAATGGAAACTGGAAAATCATGTTCGCGGTCACTGGAAACCGTTCGCTTCAGAAGCTTTCGGCGTCGCATGCATCCCACATGTCGCATGATCGCATCAGCTTGCCTGAGGAATTTGAATATGCTTGAATCAAAAGTCGCTCACTTTCGCGAGGACAGTTCCCGAAATCCAGGTAGTTTGAGTTGAAAATGTTCACCCCCCTGGTCATCGTCACTTCTCTTGTGCTACTTGCTTCCCCCAAGCGACTCGACCGTCTGCAGCATCCCGTCAAACCGAATCAAAACGTACCCAAACTAGCTTAACCCAGAATGTGGAGAGAAGAATGGAGACAGAAAAGCTCCATTCCCAGCTTCTGAATCTCGTTGATTCTTCATTCTTCAGGAGCCATGTTATAGCAATGGCAGATAGTCCACGACTACAGTACCACATCCCCGAGTGACTCCCAAGGCGCGGCGCAACGATGACATTTTTCTTCCACGGCGCTCTTGTCGTCCGTGGCGCCATGCTCACGCCCTGGGAGGTGGGCTGAGCAGCCTTGCGAGTCGCGACATTCGCTACTATAAAGCCTTTCGATGGACAGCAGTCCAGCATGCTTCATTCTTCCAGAGATCAACTAACTTACTCTTCCTGGGTCTAAGCTTCATCGCCCCAGAAATTTCCTCTTCTATCGCTGACAGTTTTTCAAGTTGTTACCTTGCTGCTAGGAGCACCATTCATTCGCCGTGCATTGGCCACCTGATTTCAAATCTTCGAAAGGGACAGCACCATTCGCCACTCCTGTCTCTTTTGGTTATTCCCGTGTTATTCCCTTGAGAGCTTCCTTTCAAGTCGACGCCACCATGACTCGAGCGCTTCTCCTCCTCCTCGCGCTATCCGCGTTATTAGCAGCCGCCGCTGGCGCTGCTGCTGCAACTAAGCCCCCCCGCTCAGGCGGGGTCGTTCTGCGCGGCGGCGACGGCAGCGTGACCGGCGGCGCGGCAACAGCTGGCGGGCGCGGCGGCAGCGGCGATTCGCACGCCGTTTCCCGCGGCGATTCGCGGCACGGCGGGTTGCCTGGCGGCGGGAGAGACGAGGAGAGGGAGGAGGTCGACGGAGGCCGCGACGGGCATGGCGGCCGGGGTCATGACAACACCGAGGGCGACTCGTCTGCTGATGACGAGCACGAGCGGGAGCATGATAGCGAGGATGAGAGCGACGATGATAGCGAGCATGAGGGCGGTAGCAGCAGCCATGGCGGCGGGCTGTGCGGGCGGGGCGGGTGCAGCGAGGACTCCGGCGAGGTGGGGTACTGGAAGCTGCCCGACTATGGCCGCTGCTCCATCGGCACCGCCAGCACCAGCAGCAGCAGCAGCAGCAGCGGCGGTGGTGGTGCGCCGAGGAAGGCGGATGAGGCGTGGTGTGCAGGGGCGGCTATGGATGTGAAGGAGTGCTGCAGCAGATGCAGTAACGTCAACGCCACGGTCGATGGCACCCCTTTCAACTGCCGCCACTGGGTGCACATCCCGTGAGTTCCTCCTCCTTCCAACTTCCACCTTGCCTCTTTTGTTGCAAACCCGGTGAGTCTTTCCCCTCTCCAACCACCGGCTTGCGTCGCCGTTTGCCGCACATTTCCTGAACCGGTTTGCATGCGCATTTCAACATTCCTTTTCAAGAACTGTAGAATTGTACTTCTCCCCCTCATCTCTCTCATGCTCTCCGGTTTCCCTTCCCTTGCTTCAGATCTCCCGACTCTCACGACCGCGGCAGCAGTAAGCAGCGAGGCAAGTGCGTCCTCCTGCCGGCCGTGGACGCGCTCACGCCCGAGAAGGCCCGCAAGGGGCGCTGCGGCACCAACACGGGCGGCGACACGGTGCGCGTGGGGCGGCGGTGTGCGTACGGCGAGAACGACCCGCACTTCCTGGGCGCGCACGGCACACGGTTTGACTTCAACGGGCTGCCAAGGCGCTCCTTCTGCCTCTACACCGACCGCCACCTGCACGTCAACATGGCCATGCGCGGCTATCTCGACCCCCGCCCGCTCCCACCCACTGCTGCTGGTAACCGTAGCACGCTGGCTGCAGCCCGTTTTGTCAACGGCTCGGCTGTTCGCACGTGGATCCGACAGCTGGCGATCATGTGGCACGACGGCGAGAGCAGCAACAGCAGCAGCAGCGGCGGCGGCGGTGCTAGTGCCGGCAGCAGCACAAGTGCTCACACTCTCGTGCTCACGGCACGGGATGGCAAGGAGCAGACTCGCGGCGCACAAGGCTTCCTTGCGTCTGTCACTCTTGACAACAAGCTTCTTCCGCGCCTGACTCTTGGCGAGAGCCACGTTCTTTCCAACGGGCGGCTGATTTTGTCCTTTGTGGGCCAGGAGAAGACCGGCCCGTTCGACGTGGACGTGTACACTCTCCGCCTGGAAAATCTCCTGGAGCTCGAGCTGAAGCTGCGCGCGGCGCACCCTCTGTTGCAAACACCTGAGGACGCGCAGGTGCACATCAACCTGATGTTTGTGGACTCGAATCCGAGCAGCGAGGTGCACGGGGTGATGGGGCAGACGTACCGCAGCGGCAGGGAGCAGCGCACCATGGAGTATTCAAGGCTTGCTGCGCTGCTGCACCACCCTGTGTCGGTGGATGGGGAGGAGGGGAAGGGGTTTCTGGATGGGCAGGTGGGGGATTATGAGACGTCTGCGGTGACTGCCACTGACTGCAGGTTCTCTGCTTTCAATGGCGGGCAGCTGCCTCTGCTGGCAGAGTAATGAGTAGAACGCATGAAAGGGGAGGACCTGTGGGAATGCACTTGTGCGCTTTTACGTTAAAGATGCCGAGGGTTGACAAGTTTGGAACGTTACAAAGTGATACAAGGTAGGATGTGTGGTAATGAATGCTCCATAGGTATGTATATGAGATACGCTCTGCTCTAATACAATGGATACTGGTGTACGCTCGTCCACGTACTTCACACGCACTGATCGAGGATGTTTTCAAGTCGGTGGAAATGTCGGTGCCAGTGACCGTTATGCCCGTACCGCTATGTAGGGCGTGAGGGCCAAAACTAGGTGCCGAGCCTGCCCGTAGCTTCGGCATGGTTTTGGCTGGGGTATTGTTGTGCGATTGTTGGCATGGCACGCACATGAGCAGTGTGCCGTGATAGCCAACCAATCTGGGTGCTGGGGGTAACTGGTCTGGTCTGGTCTGATGCCGTAAACTGTACACTTGTTTGCTCGTTGTTGTTCCTCGATGCAATAAAATCATCAAAGGCGCTCGTGGTTGTTGCTCACCTTGCAAATTCGACAAGGCCTGCAATATTCGAATGCAGAAAGTTCGAATGCTGCTAAATGTACAGAGAAGCGTTGTAATGCTTCACGTGGCTTACATGAGGAGCATATGACACAACTTTGCGGGTGCAAATATTGGTTTACAATTTCTGAATGTCGCAGAAGCTTGTCGATGCAAGAAACCGACGCAGTATCGAGAAACACGTGCATCGACAGACCGCAGCCACGGTTGCCACAGCGCAGCAAGCCAGACTAGAGAAACCACGGAACTGATCCGAGGCAGGGTGTTCGACTCGACATCTACGTTGCGCGCCGAAGCAGGGGTGCGGTCCGCCATTCTTCCCAACCAGTTGACACCTTCGGAACAGCACGGCACACTCCAGCACGGGTAGGCGCAGGCAAGGGTGTGCTGGGGAAGTGACCTTCTCTGCAGCCTGTCTGTATGTACTTGCCCTGCCCAATCCCTCCCTCCCCAGTCCCTCGGTCCAGAAAATCGCACCTACATAACCTCGGCTCCTCCCACCTCTCTTGTACTTTATGTTCAAGCACGATATTATTTTCTGAAAAGGGGTCTCGCTTCTTGCTCTCCTGCACGAGCCGCGATGGCCCGGGCTTCTGTGCTCCTGACCCTCCTGTTTGTCCTCGCCTGTGAGTAAAGCGGCCGATATCATGGACTTTGAGTCAGTAACATCTGGCGCGGTGCACTTTTTCCTACCGTAGGTCACGAGCAATGCGGTTCGCTTATAGCGCACAGCACAGCCTTGGACGAAACGCTGAGGTCTGTAGTATTTATTTCGAATTTAACCGAAAGAGAGCCGTGTAGTTCGAATTCGAGCACTCATTTGACTATTCTGTACACGTCGCATACTCTCATGGTATATTATCTTTGAGATCTCTCTCCAATCGTTTTCTGCCGTATCATACCTTTCAGCGTCTGTTCCGTCCCCCCTCTCAAATCTTACTGAGTATTTCCCATTCCTCACCCAATGTCCTTCCCTCGCATTCTTTCTCTTGCGTCATCCCCTTCGCCCTTTTCCCCATTCCTCGTTTCCGAATACCTCTATCCGCAAACCGCGGTTTTTCTGGCTCCCGTCTCCTGCACAGGCTTCTGCCACACAGAGGTACGCCTGTCCACCCACTTGTTAATCCCTCATACCGTATTCAATCCTTCCCGTCAACTCCCACTTGCCGATTTGCTTAACGTGTTCCAATCATATCAACGTCGCGGCATTTAACTCACCCTTGGCGTACGATTGGCCGGCGTGTCGCTGCAGGGCAAGAAGGTGGTGGTGGGCGGCAAGCGGAAGGCGAGTCCGTGGCAGTACAACGTCATCAACTGGAAACAACCCACCGTCCGCGCTGGAGACGTTCTCGGTAAGCGCAATGTTTCATGGCAAAGAATACTGAGTTCGCGAGATGAAAATTGGCGTGGACGGTCGTGTCACCAGACTGCGTTTCTTTCCACTGCCGAGCACCGACGCTCCGTTTCGACTTTAACATTTTCCACACGTGGCTCGTATGGTTGACCCGATTCCTCCCTCATTTCCCCTCCGACACTACTCCCCTCCCCACCTTTAACGCACTCTCCGCTCGTGCTCCTCCTCGCGTGCATTCCCGTGCGTGCGTCCCCGCGGCAGTGTTTCGGTGGCGGTTCCTGCCGCACGACGTGTGGGTGATGAACTCGCAGACCGCCTACGCCAACTGCGACTTCTCCGCCGCTAGTTCCACCAAGAAGACGGGCATCTCCGTGACCGGCAAATACAAGTAGGTGGCACGCCTCCCCCATTCTCCCTCTCCCTCTCCCTCTTCTTCTCCCTCTCGCTCTCTCTCTCTCTCGCTCTCCCTCCTTCCCACTCGTTTCTCCTTCCCTCTTGCTCTCCCTCCTTCCCTGTCTCCCCCACTTATCTATCTCCCTCTTTCTCACAGGAGTGCTAGTGTATGTGCGTGCATGAACCCACTCCTGCGTGTTTACTTGCATACCTGTGTGTGTTCAATTCGTTTTTGTCCATATTTTCTGTCTGCATGTTCAGGTACACAGTGCCAAGTACAGCAGCAGGAACCACCTTATACTTTGGCTGTAGTGTACCAGGCCATTGTTTAGCAGGGAAGATGAAGGCTGCTATTAAAATCAGTGCATGAATGCTGTTCCAGGCGCAATGCTTTCCTTTTAAAGCACATGGATTTTGTAGCCTTTCTTGTAACTAAACTGTTTATTTATATTTTAGTACGAAACATGTTTGACCTCAATCCGTTCGTGTAAGAGCAATTCACTTCTAGTTTAGCGGTGGTGGGCCCTGACCTCAATAGCAGAGTGAATGTAAAATGCTTGAGATGATTAAAACATGCAAATACAGCAAATATAAATATGAGTACAGGGAAGACGAATCGACCTAGCTAGCCATGTACTCTAAGGGGTACATTCCCTTATTCAAATTCATTCCCAACCGTGCGGCGCGTACAGTTACGAAACTGTTCCCGCCAGAACCCTCCTGCCTGCAGCTGCCCGATGCCATCTGCTCCGACGGTCCAGATGCGCCTCAACCGTCTGACGCTTAGAGTCAACTCTGACTCTTCGTATTCATTCTCGATACTGCATGCTTCCTTAGCTGCGGTCGGGAGTGTACAATGAATCTTCATTCAGTACTATTCGTAACACCCCCCTTCACTCCTGGCCGTAGCTCGACTTGACCTGTTTGACCACGCCACTGAGTTCGGAGCAGTGCTGGTACTGCTGGCGTGGCAGTCGCTTGGTGAGAAAGTCTACTGCCATGTCAACGGTCGGGCAATAGGTCAAGTTGACCTTGCCCTTGTCCACCTCGTCCTTTATGAAGAAATACCGCAGCGCAATGTGCTTGGTGCGGTTGACGAAACCAGGTTTGTTTGCGATGCGAATCGCGCTCTGGTTGTCACAGTGAAGACGAAAGGTGGGCGAAGCTGGAATTTTCGCTTCCTGCAGGAGTTCCTGCAAGTAGAGGCCTTCGCGAACTGCTGCGGTAGCTGCGATGAATTCTGCTTCGGCTGATGACAGGGCAACCAGCTCCTGCTTCTGCGAGTTCCAGGAGATTGGTCCCGTTGGCTCGAGTCGGAACAGGAAGCCAGTCATGGACCGTCGATTATCGGGATCTGCTGCATGATCGGCGTCCACATATCCGATGAGATTGAAGGATGAGGTTGGTGCAGTTGAGTAGCACAGCCCAATCTTAGGCGTTGAAACGAAGAACTGTAGGGCGCGCTGCAGGTCCAGAAGATTCTCAGCCGTTGGTTTGCGTGAGTACTGGGCCAGCTGACTTGCGATGTAGGAGAAATCTGGCCTGCAGGTGACAGAGGCGAAGAGCAGGCATCCCAACTGCTGCTAGTAAGTCTGAATTCCAGCAGGGGATAGGGCTTTGTTGTCGGGTTTGTGGTTCGGTCCAGGGGTTCGGTAGGGAGTTGAGAGAGGTGCAGGTGACATGTTGAACCGCTTCCCTAACTCCTCTGCGTACTTAGCTGCTGAAAGGTGAATGGCCTCAGGTGTGTAGGAGATGTTGAGGCCCAAGAACTGCTTCACCTCGTAGTTGCATGTGATATCGACGCGCCCCGCCAAGGCCTTCTCGAACTGCTCGAGTAGCTCGTTGTTTGAGCCTGTGTAGAGCAGGTCGTCGACGTAAACCGTGAGGAGAATTTATTCCCCGCGGAAATCGCGGCGGTACATTCCTGGATCGTGCGGCATCTGCTTGAACCCGATTTCAAGCAGGATGTTGTGCAGATATTGCTGCCACAGCCTCGGTGCTTGCTTGATTCCGTAGAGCGACTTGCGCAGTTGACACACGCGTGAGTCCCCTTCGCCGTATGCGTGTGGCTGCTCTACGTAGATCACGGCGTCCACTAACGCGTACAAGAACGCGTTCTTCACATCGATCTGGCGGAGTGGCAGGTGCCTTGCAGCTGTGATGGCGAGTAGGATACGAACGGAGGTGTGGCGGCTGACTGGAGCGAACGTCTGGTCGAAGTCGATGCCATGCCTCTGGTCATAGCCGCGCACCACCCAACGCGCCTTGAAGCGCTCGATCGTTCCATCCGCAGCGGTCTTCACGCGGAAGACCCATTTGCCCGAGAGGACCCTGGCGCCTTTGATAGCCGCACGGTCGACTAACACCCAGGTGTCTCGGGACTCGAGCGCCTTGATTTCCGCGTCCATCGCCTCGCGCCATTCCTTGCTGTGTGGTCCAGAGAGAGCTTCGCGCGGGTTTCGGGGCTCGATGACACGTGGCGCCTTCGAGGTTGCTGTGTGAAGCCCCAGCAGCTGCAGTCCTGAAACGGTGCTGTCGTGGCGACGTTGCGGGATGACTTCCTGCACGTCGTCGTCATCGCTCTCTGGTTCAGGTAACGCTGGTGGTGCTGCGCCTCTGCCGCTTCCGCCTGTTCCGCCCATTCCTCCTCCTGAGGAATCGTCGTCGTCGTCGTCGCTGCTGCGCCGATCTTCCCATGCGAACTCGCCCCTAGTGTCCTGCTCCAGGATTGCTGCAGCGGCTTCGTCTTCGGGAGTTGCGTAGCTGTGACCGTCATTCGCGTAGACGCGATTTGCGTTCGTCTGTTCGTCGTGGCGGAACTGCTCGAGGAAAAGGCGTTCGTAGAAGATCACGTCGCGAGCGTGGGCGGTTTTCTGACTGAGGAGGTCTAGCACGATCCACGCTTTGTACTCGTGACTGATGCCGAGATGAATGCCCCAACGCGCGCGGCTGGCGAATTTGCCGATGGTTGATGTCGGCGGGCGGTATTGAACCATGCACCCCCACACGCGGAGCATCGATGTATCCCCCTTCGTTCCAGTCCATTTGACATGCGGGGACAGATTGCCGGTGATGGCAGTGGTTGAAAGCAGGTTATGCACCCGCACGGCGTGGTGCATTGCGTAGGTCCAGTAAATCGGCGGCAGCTTCGACTGCTTCATCAGTGCCCGCACCTTCGTCATCAGCGTGCGGTTCGTCCGTTCGGCTACGCCCTGCTGCAGGTGTGCGTAGGGGAGAGAAATGTGGTGCTCGATCCCCTTTTGCGCGAGGTAATTCTGCATCTGGTTGCTCCTGAACTCCTTTGCGCCGTCATATTGCCAGATTTTCAGCTTCTCCCCAGATTGCCGCTGCGCGTGCGCCAGCCAGAGGCGGAACACCTCGTAGGCTCTGTCGCGGGTTTCGACGTTCACGACCCACACATAGCGTGTTCCAGCGTTGATGAAGGTAAGCGTGTACAGCTCGTCATCGACTCCGCAGTGGCCTACGTTCAGGAAATCGCTGTACACCTTGTGCAGCTTGGGGTAGCGGTTTGTCCCTGGCTCGAGGAGCGGGAACGGCTGATGACTGAGCGCGGCTGTGGGGCAGATGGTGCAGGTGCGCGGATGCGTCGTGCTTCTTACTTCGGTGCCGTCTGGGCGCAGGAGCGCTCCTGAAGCGAAGACGCCAGCGTCGATGCAGTTTTTCAGCGTCGCGCGTGAAGGATGTCCGAGGCGCTGGTGCCAGAGGGCATCATCAGCGCGAAAGCCGGAGGTGCGCATGTAGCGCGCGCGAGCTTCCTCAGGGTCTTCGTCAGACACAGGGGCAGGTTCTGCTGCTGCTGCTTCTGCTGCTTCTTCTTCTCCTTCGTTGGCGGTGGTCATCATTAGCGCCAGAAACTCTCGGTCACGAATCTCAGAGAGAGGGATATTGGTCCCAGGGATGGTTCCAAGGACGAAGGTGGGTTCGCGCGGCTCGGGAGCGGGTCCGTAGACAGTGCGGCGCGGGGTTGACGGTTCGTTGCCCCAGTCGATGGTGTCCCAAGGGTCACTTCCTGGCGGGATGTCTGCAGGGGGAAGTGCAGGAGTAGGGCGACGCGGGGGACGACCGAGAGGGACCACAGGAGGTTCGGTCTCAGTGACCTCCCCAATGGTTTCCTCTTCCCCCCTTTGGTCCTCGCGGAAGGCTCCCCAACCGCTCGTCTCGCCGCCAGATGCGACGCCCCATCCGCCAGGGTTACCGCCGGTGTCTGGTTCCCAGTCGCCAGTTGCGGCTCCCCATCCGCCGGTGGCACCGCCAGTATCGCTCGTGCCCCATCCGCCAGCGCTTCCCCACCCCCCTTCATTGGAGGCGCCCTCGTTGTCGCCCCATCCGCTCCAGGCGAATGTCCCGCGTGACTCCGCAAGACTCCGTAGGCGAAGTTCGTCTGCTTCGCGTCGCGCCAGATCTTCTTCATGTGCGACGGTGAGGTGCTTCGTGGGATCGCGCTGATGAGGGTAGAGTTCCAGGAATTTCTCCTGCGTGTAGGGTCGCGCGTTTCCTTCCCCATCGAAGGTGCCAACGCCAACGCCACGCAGCATTCCGCGAAGGTGTTGTGATGCAGGTCCTGGGAGGGGAGTTTTCTCCGTTCCGAAGACGATGCGCGTGGCCGTCTCAAGTTCCAGGTGAGACAGCCCTTCTTCAGGCGGTGCTTCCCGCTCTGCTTCGGCGATGGCGGCAAGGCCACGGCCGGCGATCGCGCTCGTCGAGGCTGTAGGCGTGTGGCAGTCTCTGCAGATGCCGTCGGGATCGGGATCATGCAGCGCCGTTTCGCGTGGGTGGGGATGATGCGGCACCCACGGTCTGCCGTCAGGGTGCTTCCAATCCCTGTGGTGAATGTGCTCGAAGCGTAGTGGCACGAGATCGATTAGCTCGTGCGAGTCGCCGCTGCAGTCGGGGATGTCGAAATCCAGGACATACACTCCATTTTCGGAGTGGGCTCGTCCGATCTGCCTGCGGGGGAAGGTTTTTGATTCGTAG